GTAAAACAAACCCAAACCCCAATCGCCTATTTTAAAATTGAAAATTTAACTTCTATTTTCACCCTTATTTTTGAATTGCACAACCTTTACTTTTCATTTTGATTTGAAGTCGCCATTTCCGCCACCATTCATTGAACATAATCTTAACAGTCTTTGATATTTGTTCATTCTCGACAACAACTAAATTTGTCGTCAAGCATAAAAAAACACAAATTATCATTATTAACTGGATTAAGAAGTCTTTAACCGTTCAGCTAGTCGTTTAAATAGTAAGCAAAAAATTGTTGGGATCCGCTGTCTCCTTGCTTTCACGCCCGACAGATCGGGAACCAGTCAGTTAACTTACCGTTTAAAATTAAACAAAAAGGCGATTGTATCGTCAAAATGGCCTTTAAATCTATTTATAAAATTTTCCCATTTTACTATTAGACAAAAGTTTATACAAAAGAATGGTCCCTTTGGGAAAAGTCAAATTGCCTTTTTTTATATCATTAAAGTTCAAATGTATCAAGTTTACTTAAAAGTCTTTTTCCCTTTAATGAATGGGGTTTAAAAACGGGTTTCCCTTTAAACCCCGCCCCCTTTTTGAACAAAATCCTTTTCTGTCTAAAACAAGTAACTCTTGTTTCTTCTAAATTTTCTTGTTATTATTTAACCCCGTTTAAAATTTTAATTTGCTAACCCCCGGAGGAAAATTTAAATTCCCTTTCTTTTAATTTTCAAGGTATCTTTTATTTTAGTAAAATTTTTTGGTAAGGGGCAATCATTCCCCCCCCCTTTTCCCCCGGGCCCCTTATAACTTGGAAATAATCCCCTTTATAAAAACCAAGAAAAAAAGTAATGGGGTAAAATTTTTTATTATAAAGGGAAAAATTTTAAACCCTTCGCAGGGAATTTTATCAAATCCCGTGCTTTTACAATTTTTGGCGGCTTTTAAAACAATTTCAATTTCGTAACGATTCAATGGCAAATTAAGAGCAGGATTTTCTTCGAATAATAAGTGATATCATAGGTACAAAAGCAAACAATTCATTATTTATATATTTATTAGTATGGTTGTAGAAACCGAAAGTACAAAAAACCAACCTGTTGACATTAGGTCGGATTTGTTTAAAATTGAACATCAGTGGGCATATTTAAATTACAAATTGTTGTCAGACATATTTTCAAGCGAAAGAGTAAGATGTCAAACATATACATTCGTTTTACATTATCTCTTTTTCTGTTTACATCTGAAACCACGTGAAAGAACTACTTTCAATCCGTATTGTTTCCGAGGTTAATATTATAGATAATAGCCGAGGCAGTTCCGAATGAGCTACCAATACACCAAGTTTGGCATCAACTCAAGTTTTTGAGCTAAAACTGAATTTCTAATGATCAATATTAAATCAAACTAAACTTATTTGATTTCAACGTTTTAAACTTGAATATGCCGTATTTTATGATTAAAAGGAGTGTCTTGAACCCTGATTGCTTTCATTTGCTGAATAATGGTTTTTAATTTATTTATATAGTTTGAAATGAAGAATATTCAATTCAATGTTAATATAGTTGAAATATCAGAGTTTATCACGGAATAAGATTAATTGTTTAGTAGGAAAAAGAGGTATGCAATAGTTTCATTAGTGTTTAGTAAATCATGCTACCCTTTAAGGCTGTCTTTAAAACCAAGTCTCAGGATCATGTTCTTCGACTGTTTCGTGTACAGTCAGAACCAAATTCTCTTTTTGTAGTAATGTTTGTTGCCAATTTCTGTTATTAATAAAAATAATTGGTCTTTTGTTTACCTAAATTTAACCGAAGAAAAGATAGTAACACCCTACTTTTTAGTAACTCGTGTACAATACTTTGACACATGCGTAATCGTATTCACACTTTTTTCGCAAATGAAGGAAGTTCTAACATAATCATATATCAAATTAATAAGACATTTAACATAAAATACCACAGTATAGATTGCTTGATATTTTTGGGCTACATATGCCACAAGTTCAAAACTATAAATCTCTTACTAAGTAAAGGACAAGAACTTTACAAGTACTGAATAAATCCACGAGCAAACCCCAAGGTGCATAAGTACACATGCTGACCAATATTCTTGTATTTTTAAGGCCTACTGATCAAATACGTTTGAGCTATGCATGAACAAGTTGAAAATTGCAAATTTATACTAAGTCAAGGGTAATAACTCTAACAAAACTGAAACAAAACGACATGCAAAACCTTAGGTCCATAGCTTAACACTGATGTTGAACATTATTCCTGTAAAGTTGATTGATTCTAACTCAAGCACTCACGGAACAAAAAATACAATATAATGGAACCCCCCCCCCTAAAGTAGGTGTACAAAAATCGAATATTTTAGCACTTTTGCATTCTAAAGTTATGTCATATTGTTTGACTTGAATGTTTGCACATTACTTCGATTTTATGATGATTTATCATCCGAATTTTTAATGATCTTGGATTTTTTTCATTCTCTGTTGTTCTAAAATTCCATCAGTAGTTATTGCATAACTCCATACGCGCATGTGTGCGCGACCGTCGCGAAAACCGAATTATGTTAGAGACCACAATAACTTTACCTTTGTAGCTTTGTCGTTCTCTAATTTAATTTTTGAATAATGGTACTGATGTTATATGTCTTCTTCCCTGTGGCAACATTTTTTACAGGAACGTAAATATAAGAAACACATTTGACTTTATTATCTGAACTAATATCTGGCATTAAATTTGCTAATGCATTAGTTAATTAAGTTAAACAAACCAAGCTCTAGTGTAAAATATCTTGTCTTCCTGACTTTCTTTTTTAGCTCACCTGAGCATATGCTCAGGGTAAGCTATTAGGATCACTCTTCGTCCGTCGTCCGTTCACACTTTTTAAACGACATCACCTCTGAAACCATAACGCAGCTCATAATGAAACTTCACAGGGATATTCCTTGTGTGAAGCCTTAACAAATTTGTTCAAAGAATTACATTCTATGCAGAACTCTGGTTGCCATGGCAGCTGAAAGAAAAATCTTTAAATATCTTCTTTTAAAAAACCCTAAGAGCTAGAGCTTAGATATTTGGCATGAAACATCTTCTAGTGAGTGTCTACCAAGTTTGTTAACATAAAAGCCCTTGGGTCAAAATTGGCCCCGCCCAAGGGGTCATTGATTTTCCCTATTTGCATATTGTAAAAACTTAAAAAATCTTCTTTTAAAGAACTCAAAGAGCTAGAGCTAAGATATTTAGCATGAAGCATCTTCGAATGAGTGTCTACCAAGTTTGTTCAAATAAAAGCCCTGGGTCAAAATTGGCCCGCCCCAGGGGGTCATTGATTTTCCCTATATGCATAAAGTAAAAACTTTAAAAATCTTCTTTTAAAAACTCAAAGAGCTAGAGTTTAGATATTAAGCATGAAACATCTTCTAGTGAGTGTCTACAAAGTTTTTTTCAAATAAAAGCCCTGGGGTCAAAATTGGCTCCGCCCTGAGGGTCATTGATTTTCCTTATATGTGTATAGCAAAAACTTAAAAATCTTCTTTGAAAAAACCCAAATAGCTAGAGTTTAGATATTAAGCATGAAACATCTTCTAGTAAGTGTCTACAAAGTTTGTTCAAATAAAAGCCCTGTGGTCAAAACTGGCCCCGCCCCAGGGGTGTCATTGTTTTTAACTATATGTGTAAAGTAAAAACTTAAAAAATCTACTTTTAAAAAACCCAATGAGCTAGAGCTTAGATGTTTAGCATGAAACATCTTCTTATGTGTGTAGTAAAAACTTAACATCGTGAAACATATTCTAATGGGTGTCTTCCAAGTTTGTTCAAATAAAAGCCCTGGAGTTTAAACTGGCCCCGCTCTGGGGGCCTATATACAGTTGAGCAACCTCAGGGCTATCATGGCTCTCTTGTTTATAAAGACTCTCGAATGGTATTTTATCTTTAAAAGATACTACGGAAACAACATAAGAAGTTAAACATAAATTTACTTAAAACACAATGTTATTGTTAATTTATATTAAGTTTAGTCAGTAGATGAAGCATATCTGATGAATAGTAAAATTTAAAGGATTGTTTTAAAACTGTTTATTAAAATATTGATAATAAATTTGGCTCCAATAGTAAAGCCAACAATTGACTGAATTTCGAAAAGTTTAACATTTTACCCCATTAGCATACAATGTATTGTAAAAAAATGGCCGTTTTCATTGAAAAGCCTTCTGGTACAAGTTCAAATTGCTATGAAACTATGATAAATGCTTCAATACTGATGAAAATTGGCACAAATTTTTAATGGACCATAACCTATGAAATAGCATGCTCAATTGTAAATTTCATGTTACCATGGCAACGGGGGACGTCTCAAAATTGCGAAAAAATACTATTTTGCATTGTTTTTTTTTCCATCAAAACTGATTTCAAAGTGCTGCAACTTCTCAATGAATTAAAATAGAGTAAGAGGCTTTTCAGCGCCGGTTACTATTTATCCTAAGATAGAGCTGAGGCCATTTTTAGCTTGTCATAATTTGCAAAATTTTCTTAGCGATGAGGGGGACTGCCGACCCTTTCATACCCCGCCCCCAAACAGAATTAGGGCACATCCTCCTTTTGTCAACCCCCTGATGTACAATTCTGATAGGGGCCGGACCGAAAAAGTGGTCAATTTTTAAACAAAATTTCTTAATCGTAAATCAGTATTTTTGGCCTAAATATGGCATTTTTTTCACTGTTTGAGGCTTCAAAAAAAAGGGAGAGGGGCAAAAAGCCGTGAAAACACATCTATATGAGGTAAAAGGTTAATCTATTAAATCTGCATTGAATACGAAATGTAAGCAGAAACAATATATATTCAATCTATCAAATTTCTACATCCTTTTTACTTTGGTTTATAAAATTTCTTATGTCTTTGTTGATTTAAAAAAATAACTATATATTAAACATGTATGGACATTGATTTAATGTTGCAGATGATCTGTAATGGTTTATAATATTTTTTATCTCTTAATTAGAAAAGTGTTTGTCAAAATCAAAACGGATGACCTGAATCGATTTGTTTATGATTTACTAAAAGAAATTGGACTAAAACCTGTGCCTTTTGGATTGGACAAAATGTCAGAAAATGACAAAAAGCGAACAATTATTACAGTCAGACACAGTGGAAGCCGTGTAGACTCAGATGTATTAGGATGTTGCAAAAACATGCCAGGTTTGTTTCATAAAAATAATCTTCTTACCACGATTTCAGTTAACGATGAATTTTGGCATCTCTTTTGTTGTCTTAATCAACAATACACGACACGAAGAACTTACCATAATAAACTATTAAACAGACATGTTTTTATAACGATGGAAATATTTTTATATTAATTTAAAAGATACTTTTATTTTTTTTAATTTTCAAATGAAAAGCAAGATGTTGTTTCTTTTTCAGATTCAGATATCAAACGAACAGTTGTTGTTATTATAAATGAATTCGGAAATAATAACAAGGGCCATCACGGGGAGGAAATAATGCCCAGCAGCTATGAAATTGGGAATTTGAAGACTTTAAAGGGCATTGTTACAATAAATTACAGATGCTGCATACAAAATACCAAGTGCAGCACCTGTAAATATGCTTTAGACGTGTTAAAAAGGCAAGCAATTTCACCAAATTAGAACTAAAATGTTCTAATGTAAGATATTCCTTGACAGGATATTTATTTGAGACATCAAACAAAATTTACAAAATAATGTTTTCGGATTTAATGTAATTATACACTTTTCAGTTCAAAAATATCTGAATAAGCTTGGTCAATTATATGATCAAAGCATAACTCATCTTGATATTTTTTTTTCATTCCATTTGTAATTTCTTAGTTGTGTGTAATTCATACTGTACTTAGTTTAGCACACTATCATCATAAATAGATATTTACTTAAGTTGAGGTGTGCTGTACATGGCTTACAAAGTTTAAATATTTTTGATTTGAATATGGTTGATTCTGATATGAATAATCTACTATCAATTTGATAATCTAACTTGGAGTGATAAAATGAGTAGGAAACATGTATCGACTAATACGTATGTTTGAGGTACGTAAGTGATAACTGTAAAATTAGATAACATATTTATTAAATACTATTGTTGAGTGGTTGTCTAAAACGGGGTCGTTAGCGATTAAGTGTTATTGGAGAGCAAAATATAGAGAGTGTTCAGAAAGTAAAACAAAATGTACGCAGAATAATTATTGTGAAAACTTTATGAATATTCTAGTTTATAAAGAAATTCATATTGAACTATTTTAAAAACTAGAATAAATTAGAGACTTTACTTTATTATTAAGAAAATGAAGCATTTGTACATAAATAGAACACATTTAAAACATTTGCAAGAACTAAAGTTTTAAATGTAAAAAAAATAGGAAAAAAAATATCTTCAACAACTTAAGAATATGAATCATTTAAAGTAAAAAGGACGCCTTTAAGTAAGCACATATATACATAACACGACAGTGTTAAGCGTATTTATTTATTTTATATTTTTTACAATACTGTATACCAAAAATAATTTGTAAAAAATTTGCCCATGTTCAATAACTTCAAAATTGTTTTATTACTTCAGTATGAAACAAAGTTAAAGTGTAGCTTAATGATGACTCAATAAAAATTATGTTTGAAAATTAATAACGGATTATTCAGAAGTATGTGTTTTAATTGTTAGATAGAAAAATAGAAAATTCGAGTAAATTATCACGGACTGTGAACCATACACGTTTAAACTGTCAGCGCGGTTGAATGATAAAGTTTTAGGACAGACCTGCTTATTTAAGATTTGTCAACAAGTAGTGGTGGGCTTTTAGTAATAAAACAACAGTCGATGATATTTTATACTTATTATACTGATTCAGGTACTAGAATCCTATAATAAAGATTACAGTACAAATAAAAAAAGAAATATTTTACAATAGACAGTTCATTGATTCATATTTCACAATGGCAATAATTGCAACATATGCATAATAAACATTTCACATTTACAATTAAAATAAATTTAAACATACCAGGTTTGATAGAAAAGATTCTCCAAAACAATGATTATAAATATGAATAAATCTATTAATATCTCTATAAAGAAATAGTAAATATTAAAAAAGAATCAGACAAAAGATGTGATTGCCTTGAATGCAATGAAAGAAGTGGTCAGAGTTACTAAAAAATGTTATATCCCATAACCAAATCAGGTAAAATAACTTCCATACAAAAACAGTCATCCATTACTCAACATGTAAAACCAGTTCAATCATCCATAACAAAAGGACAGAAGACAAATATGATCAAATAACACCACCAACTGGTCTGGCCTTTGAAAAGAACTTATATACATGCCATTGTCTAGATAAAAATGACACCGGCTTTTTTCTATTAAACGATTAGTAATGAAACCTGGCTTCATAAAAAGCAACCTTATAATCAATTGGAAAAACAGAAATGAAATTTCCTTTTCATTCATATGACGACAAAAATATATCATATTATTAAAGATATACTGCCCTCCTATAACTATTTTGCAAAATAAAAAAATGTAATACAGTAGCGTTGCCAATTCTACTTGAAAATAATGAACACATAGTATGCTTATAAAATATGATAAACAAGATCAACAAGGAAAGGCGGCGTTCAATGAACGCAACCCCCATATATGACCCAGCAACAAGAACCAATAGCAAGGAGCCCAGGCGGACCCCAAACAAAAACAGGACTAGGCAAAGACAGAGCACGGACAGGTTAATCATTAAATGATAAATAATTTTGTAACTGATTAGGAATTCAAAGAAAATAATAATAGGCCCACAAAGGGGAAGGGGGCGGGAAGGGGGGGGGGGGTAATCAAAGAAATAAAAACTAGAGGCAATGGGGAAGATACTTACCGTAGACGAGAAAACAACAAGGGACACAAGCAAAAGTGTCACCAAAACAGTATGAAACAACATAGACATACATCTTAGGAACACAGTGGGGCGTCGCCTTGGAACGGTCAGCAGCATAATAATAACTGCTTGGGAGTTTAAACCGGTTAATAGTGCACCAAACCTCGCTCTTAGCCCCACCATGTTTCTATAAACGAGACAGTGTAAATAAAATGAATCCCCGCCAAGTGAAATTCTAACAGTTGTCATGGTTACAAAAGGTTAAATAAGTAAAACACTAAAATGATCATGTAGAAACATATAAAAGTAAACCCAATGACCATAACAACAGTACTCAATGTCCTAAAGGAAGACAGAGCAACAAGAAAATCACCTACAAGGGCCCGACGAAGCAAGGCAGAAGACGAACATTAAGACAGTTCAGTCCCAAAGGGCTTTACGAACTATCCATCATAGAGTCTCCCACTTGGTCCGTCAGATGCAATCAAAAGAGGAAAGCGTAGTGTCCAACTATAAAAGGGTTGAACACTAAACATGCAGTATGTCTTAAAATAGTAGGGTCATAACCTCTTTTAATAAAACGTTTAATGATTTTAGTAAAAACAGCAGAAAAATTACCATGACCCAAAATCTTACGAAGTTTGTAAATCACATCGCCATAAAAACCAGGCTGGCTAATCCCTTGTCGCAGAAGAGTTTTTAAATCACTATTGAATTTAGAAATTAAATCAAAGTTACGATTGTAAAATTTAGTAAAATATTTCCGTAATTTATGATAGCGGTATCCCTGTTTTAGAAGCTTGCTGGTAATAAAAATATTCCGCTCGTTGAAATCCTTTACGTTGCTACAAGCTCTAGCGAATCTAATTAACTGAGAAACATAACCCCCGTAAGATGTTGCATGGGGTACGTCTCCATCTAAATGTGGATAATTAACTATACAAAAGTCAAAGTCATCTCTTTTATCATAGATTTTCGTGTGAATAGAATTGTTGTAGATAGTAACATAAAGATCTAAAAATGATGTACTAAAATTTCAAGAGTTCGTTTTATTAAGTTGTAGTTCATGCGGATAAATGACAGACACCATTTGATCAAAATAAGGATTATCTAAATTAAAAATATCATCAAGGTATCTGGAAGTATTATTAAATGCGACTATAACATCTTGTTGTTTATCTTCAGAGAGACTCAACATAAAGTCTCTTTCATAGCAGTACAAAAACAAATCGGCGACCAGGGGTGCACAATAAGTACCCATAGGAATTCCTATGATCTGTTTAAATAGGGTATTACCAAACCTGACATTAATGTTGTCTAAAAGAAAAGAGAGTGCTCTACAAACTTCGTCACAGGTCCACATAGTATAATGTTTAACAATACCGTTAGTAAAAAAAGCTTTGTTAGAATTACATGCTAGAAACGTAACTTTTTCCCGTGCAAAAGTTTTCTGAATTAGGGAAATTAGTTTTTCATTGATTAACTTATGTGGCAAAGTTGTATAAAGTGTAGAAAAATCGTATGTACTGACAGTTGAAGCTTAAAAGTTATTAATTTTGAATTTATCCAAGATTTCACCAGAATTTTTAATTGACCAAAAGAGGTGTTTGCCTGTGTTTTCATAGACTTTATCACAATATCTAATTACATGTGTTTTAATGGCAGTCAAACAAGACGTCAATAAAAAAAAGAAAGTTTACTTGTAGTGCAAGATGTAGAATTAGCAATGAATCTGGCTTTGTAAGGTTTTTTATGTAATTTAGGAATCCAATACATAATAGGAAGTTTGAGTTCTTTTTTCATTAATTTGGACTTTAATATTAGTAATATGATTGTTTACAATGTCTTTTTCGGAGGCAGAGGTTTTAGAATACGCATTAGTACTATTTAGTCCCTTATGCAAAACGTTAATGTAATGGATTCGTCATACAATTATAATATTATTAGCCGCCTTGTCCGCTGGCACCAAAACAAATTTTGAATGAAAAGCTAGAATATCTTTTTTCAGTTGTCTTAAAGTAAGTCTTGGTTTAGGTGGCAAAAGATGTTCATTTCCACGATAAAAATTAATACGTGAATCAATAATTTTAAAGATGTTACGTTTCCATGTAACTAGAGCATTACTATCCGCATTTTTACGGCGACACCATTTGACCGAAAAATCCTCTATAGATTCAGCAAGCTGACCACGACAAGCATTAAAATCAATCTCAGAAGGAATTCTGTATTTAGGTCCTTTCAAGAATAAGTTACGAATTCTTTTGTCTGCAATTATATCAAAATTACATATTTTTGTCTGAAGGTACAAGGCATAGAGCTTTGATGTTTGATATATAATATCATTTATAGGTCCTCTACCAAAGTTGTTCAAATTTTTCCCCTGGTGTCAAAATTGGCCCTGCCCGGGGGCAGTGATTCTCTTTATGTACACATAGTAAAAACAGAAAATAAAACAAATGTTTTCTGAATGGGAGAAAGCTATAGCTTAGATATTTGACTTGAAATGTTGTTTGGTGGACCTGTATCAAAATTGTTTTGAATTAAACCCTTGGGTCAAAATTATATGCCTTGCCCAAGGGGACAGTGACTTATTTTCTTGTCCTTTGATGTACAGCAATGACATTTTGACCATGTGCACAGTTTTAGTTGTAAAATTGAACTTTGATATCAGGTGACCTAGACTTTGATGATGTGACCTACTTTCTTGTCCTTTGATGTACAGCTATGAAATTTGAACCATGCGGTGGCATAGCATTTTTCTCAAATGCAATCTTGTTTGATCTTCAGCCAGAGTACCTAACATTCTGAGAAGTGTCCGATTAAATCGTTTGGCTGATGGATTAACCATAGGGTGGAAAAAGAGTTGTTCTTGTCTTCCGAAAAATTCAATCTTGCAATGTCTCTTGATGACTCGCCTTTTGAAATCCCCCCTGATCAGAATGCAGCTGCTTTGGAAAATAATAGTGGTCAATAAAATGTTCATATAAGGCACAAACAGTAGTAGTCGCCCTTTGATCTCGACAAGGAATAGCCTTGGCATATCTGGTTAAATGATCGGTAATGACCAGGACGTCCGCATTCACTCCAGTGGACTTCTCCAGTTTCAAAAAACCATACACACAAGTTGCATGGGTCTTGAAGTCTGGATTTGAACCAATTCTGTAGCAGGTACTACCGGTGTCTTTCTGCAAATACAACTTTTGCAACCTGAAATCTGCCGCCATGCCATGCTCATAAAAAAGAGAAGAAAGACGTTAACGAGCTAATCAAATATATTTATCACGTCCGGGATGGTATGAATGCCTGCAAAATTTATAGTGATTAACCTGTCCGTGCTCTGTCTTGTGTCCTGTCCTGTTTTTGTTTGGAATTCGCCTGGGCTCCTTGCCACTGGTTCTTGTTCTGGATTGTATGGGGGTTGCGTTCAATGAACGCCGCCTTTCCTAATTGATCTAGTTTATCGAAATTTATATACATCATTCGCGCACTTAGTTTTTCCAGAATAATTATTCAAATTGTAAAAAAATGACCCAAAAAGAAAAGCGTTTAAACGCTTTTCACTCAAATCAGGCTAAGAAAAGCATAAAAATACGAATTTCAATGTTTTCTAAGTATCATATTTCATAATATGACCTCAAAATCATAGGCAGACAAAACAATCCAATGATGACCTGTCGGGTCCAACTAAGCAGAGCGCAAGATATAAATTATAGGGTTGTTATCAGTTGAAAGAAGAAATTGGTTGCAATGCAGATAGGTGTTTAACTTATCACAGCCAGCCAATTTCAAAGCTAAAAAAATCAAGTTTATTAGCAAGGTAACTA